CTCAGTTTCATGGATTAGTTAAAGTTTGACATTAACACCGTTGGACGTCAGCTCAATAGTTTAGAGTTTAAGTGCTTGCATGCGAGACCGATAGTTCCTACGTTCGAATATCACGGGGGAGGGCGGAATCGTGGATGCGCACTGATGAGGAATCCCACAAAAGGACGAAACGACCGTTCAGTGCTTCCAGGTTTTCCATAGTGGTCTAGCTTCAATTGACTCACGATCTCAACTATCAAAATAAATATATCTCATATATTGACATTAGATGGCGACCGACCTCCTGTAGGACTGAGATGTAATCACAATTGATTGATCACTGAGTGGTGATCAATGTCATGCTTGTCTAGTCCTTATTAGTGCAGATCGAATGCTATCGATCATGTTGCGATTCGGCCACCAGTCTAGGTGACTTAACATTGAGGGCACAGGTACACCTTGCTGACGAGTGCCAAGTAGCACGAAACCCGGGTTCAGGGTTTCCTGTCGACTACCTCCAACCACCATCTAAAACTCAATATATAGTGCCCGCAATGTCGAGTCACCCAGACTGGTGGCCACATTGCAACATGATCGATAGCATTCGATCTACACTAAATAAGGACTTGACACACATGACATTGATCACCACCCAGTGATCGATCAATTGTGATATCTTATATATTTAAATGAAAACAATAAGTAACATTATTACCAAAGTTTGACTTGATCATTTCAAAATCAATTGAGAATTGGATAGATTTTGAGATGATGGAGACAACTTGTAGCTTAAGGGGATAATTTTGATGAAGTTTATGCTGAAGATATTTTTTAGAAGAATGATGAAAGCTCCATGACCAAACCATTCATCTCAGAGAATTAAACTTCATAAAAAATTGGGTAGATTGTTATAAATAAAATTAAAGTAGTCTATATATATATAGACTAATGAATAGAAAAAAGAATTAGATTTCCTGATGTTTCGTGACTTATTTATGCCGCTTCTTCAGAGGAAATAAATAACCAAATAAGAACTATTGAATAAAGAGATGTTCTTTTAAATAAGAATGGCATAAAATCAATAAAGATCACGTTTCTTTTGTTCATTAGAATAGAATGCAATTCAATAGAAAATCGATTAAGGATTATTTATTTAACATTAAGATACGCTTGAATAAATGTTTTTCACTATAGATTTTTAGCTAAAATTATCAACATGTAATTGTTATAACCTATGGCCTTGTACACTATCGATCGGAACAATGACGAGCAGTCTAGAATCTTTACCGGTTCTTCTTCTTGACTAGATCTGCTTGTTGACCTACAGCAACAGCTTATTGTGAGAAAGAACAAATCAGCTTCCAGTTGATGAGAAAATTAGGAAATGAATTTGGAAGTGGTTAAGATATATATTATGGAAATCATTAAACTGAATCACAAGGCAAGCTCTAACTTGAAATCCTGAAGGGGGACGAAAAAGAGGAAGGCCAAAGAACACAATGTGCTGAGAATTGGAAACAGACATGAAAAGGATGAATAACAACGGAAATTAACTGGATAGGATTGTCCAGGATAGAGTTGGATGAAGAATGCTGGTGGTCGGCCTATGCTCCTTCATGAGTGGTAAGTAATTCAGTGAATTGCACACTGACGTCTGAAGTGAAATATATTGAGTTTAAGTCATAATGTGAACATATTGAAAAGAGTAAAAACAAAGATTCTAACAGAATAGCATGAATTCATTTTATTTCGTCTGGGTCTCTTGAACTGCTTACAACCTGCGATATGCGAGGATGGTCCACGGGTGAACTCAAGGAAGCTCTTAAATGCTCAGAAAGAGTCGAAGATATTTCATTCAATCATCTTTTGGAAAATTATTCCAGAATCCATACATGTAGCTTCTCTATACGACAAATGCTAATAACCCCCTGTGTGTGAATTGGATAACTATAATGATGATTTCGTTTTTACTAAAAATTATAAATACCTAACAGTTCTGTTGAGGCGAAATCCGCTTCACACGTCCGCACAATTACATTTGGAATGGAAAACGACAAAAAAATTTCGAAATTGGTGCATGTATCTTATGGAGTTGCTCGTCATTGAGCAAACTCCGAAGGATCGCGGAAACAGCTATTCTAGCCCCGTTACTTGTGCCGTGCTTCGATGTGGCCTGTTTCTCTCCATAAGGGTCTAAAAGGCTTCGCCAACTTGTTTGGCTGGAAGGGAGGAACAGTTCTGTACCATAAATGACACTGTTTTAAATAACATTCCTTTCACTTCTCTTCTGTCTTCTTATTTGCAACTCGGGAAGGTTCTAGCATTCGAGTGCTGAAGTTATACGTGTCATATTAAGAATCTAAGCTCTAGATACAACAGATATTTAAACCTTATAATTATATAATGGGTTTAAATTACTTACACCAAAGAGTTTGATTGGAAGTTATGTGGAGGACACATTAGTATAGTATAGCAAAGGTGTAAATAAATTGAATAGACTGAATGCTGTATATATATACCTTATTTGAAAGAACATTCTACAACATTGATTGTGACAACAGTTCAAACGACCAGAAACAAGTGATTTCATAATGAGTAAACATGACTAGGAATATAGTGAATAGAGCTCAGTTGATAAAATAAGATTATTCATTTGAAAGATAGTTGAAATAAAAACTTAATGATGTAATAAATGTGAGAAAGAGTTTAAAGAAAAAGAAAAAAAACTTTTTTTAAGATGCAGAGAAGGACTATTTGTCACTAAGGCAACGAAAAATTAATAACCATCTCCTTTCGAACATATAAGTCAGGTTTTTGACTCCTGATAGCAACGGCTTCAGAAAACTGGAGTTTGGATGCTTACTAATCATCTTAAATGATTGCAAGGTATCTATCTGATGTCCTATATCAAGGAGATGTTTTTGTGATTGTACTATTTAGAGTCTTTCTTTCTCATGTTCAAAAAATCTAAAATATGCCCTCTTTTCTGTTTGGCCAATGTAGTTGCTTTGGCAGCTATAATATAATGTTTGTTTCTTATTTTCAGTATTCTATTTTATTCAGTTTAACATTGATTTACTTCAGAGTGCTGACTATTCAATATATGATGTTCTTTGCATTAAACTCACACGAACCACGTCCAGCATGGCATGGAGCATTCGATTTTCTTGTAACTTCATATATGTAACTTTTTCTCAATTAATAATCAAATAAGTGTACAAATCAATACAGAAATGAGTGTATCTTCGTCTATGGTTGTTGTATGCATTTTGAGGTGAATGAATCTTCACTTTTACCAGTGATTTGTGTTCTTCTTATTTCACATCACGGGAATTATAGTGGTTCCTTGTTCAAGTATAAATAATAAGCGACGTATATATAACATGTACAATATATTAATAGTCAAGGATACAAAGGTAAGTCAACAAAACGAAACTCAACTACTGAAATTTCTAAAATCTCCACAAAACCCCTTCTGATAATAATCATCTGCTCACTAGTGACTGACTTCAAGAGACACTCCTGGAGTTCTAGTGAGAAGTCGTGACCAGTGGAGTTCAACCAGATCTGTTGTGAGATATCAACTCACTGAAGAGAATGGTGTACGGTGGCGCAATTTCGTGGATCGGTTGAAGTTATACATTAACACCGTTGGATTCCGACCAGCTCAGTGTCCTGATGGTTGAGCGCTCGCGTGCGAGACTGATATGTCCTGGTTTTGAATCACGCGGGGGGCGGGATCGTCGATGTGCACTGCTGAGGATTCTCAAACTAGAAGGAAACGGCCGTGCAGTTATTCTAGGTTTTGCATGGTGATCTAGCTTCACTTAACTCATGATTTCAACTACTGAAATCGAAAATCATAAAACATCAAACATTTAACATAAAAATATGTATAAAGTTCATCTGAATTACTTTAAACAATTAATCAAGATATAATTATGCAGTTTTGCTGCTTTATTAAAATCGTGAATCGATCAATCTCAGAAAAGCATTTTAAACCTGGAAGCACTAAACTCTCGTTTCACCTTTGTTATCACGCTCGTTCTTACTTCGTCTACACCTATGGGACGTTAATTTACCTTAGACAAATATCTACATTAGATTTCCTCTCAGTGTCTATTCTACAGGACTTTAATACAATTCAGATCAAGAACATGCGATTAGCCTGACTAGAATGTAAATATAGATTTCCACACCAAAAACCGACAACAATTTAACATCAATGAACAATCAATCAGTCACCTGTCAGACTATTTACATATGTGATTAAGCAGACAACCAATCATTATCATTCTCGCTCACACATATCAATTCTATTATGGGACTCTTCATCAGTAAGCATCAACGGTCGCGCACTTAGGACTCAAACCTGACAACTTTGATCTCATATGCGAACACTTAATCTCTAGACTATTAAGCCGGTATCGAATGGTGTTAAAATACTTATCTTCAATTAATCCACAATATCGTTCGACAGTCTTCTCTTGTATTTGGTAGGTAAATTTCTTTTGATAAATTAGTTATTAAATACGCAACATAATACTTCTCAATTGTAAAGTAAGTAAGGTACAATTATAATTGATCTATCATGATTATTAGGTGAAGTAACATGACAAAACTTACCCCTATCACAAATTCATTATCAAATCATTATCCTTAATCGTATATAGGCTTTAATGCTGAGACTACAATTTGTGGACAATCTTTGAGTGACGCTAAAATGACCTTAAGAATGTCTACCTAATTACCAGGACCAAATGACGATTATAAATCAATGTTAGGTGTTAGAATTATGATTTACAGTTGATGGTTATGGTTAGAATTTAGATTTAGAGTTTTCATCAAGAACTGACATCAGCTACAATAATAAAGCCCTATATTAGTCAAATGGATGATTGAATTTCGCGCCAAAACTGGAAAACTATTAAAGCGAATTTGAAAGGTTGGTTCATAAATTATCGTCTCACCGCTTTAGTTATCGATAACTTACCTTTACTATCTTAACAACATAATTTAAAATGTTATTTCATACTACTACTACTACTACTACTACTACTACTACTACTACTACTACTACTACTACTACTACTACTACTACTACTACTACTACTACTACTACTACTACTACTACTACTACTACTACCACTACCACTACTACTACTACTACTACCACTACTACTACTACTACTACCACTACTACTACTACTACTACTACCACTACTACTACTACTACTACTACTACCACTACTACTACTACTACTACTACTACTACTACTACTACTACTCTGTCGAATATCATAAGTCAAACTATAGAACAATGATTCCTTGATTACAAACCACAGTAAAATGCAATTTAAACAGATATATGATAAATGAAAGATCTCGTATCATCATCATCATCATCATCATCATTGTGATCATCATTGGTTTATTCAATATGTTGTAGATTACAGCTTTACATTCCAAATCTGATTATTAGCATTATTGTTCTTGTGAATCTTCATTCATTATGTAGTGAACGAGAACAAATAAGTGGAGACAATCAAATGTATTTGAATATAAAATTACAGAAACTTTATGTAAAATCTGAGAACCATACAGTAAATAGTTCATTTGCAAAATGTCAATCAATTGTCTCAGACATCCGGAAGTTTTGAGTGATGACTTTAGTGCTACGAAGAATTCCAGTTTTGAAGCATTGCATGTAGTTTAATTCATTTCGGAGTAGCTGTTTTTCTATGTTTATTAGTTGTTTTGACAGGATGAACAAGGAGTTGTTTGTTTTTTCATCCATTGATGGTCTTGAGATCTTGATTAGTTTGTTCTTTAGAGTGTTTCTTCTTTGTTCTCTATGTCGTTCGCATGATATCTCGATGACTGTTGTCAAGATTTTCAATTTTTTAAGTTTGTGCTGATGATGTCGTTCAGAAGAACGATTAAAACTCCACAGTCAAACCATCTAGCTCATAGAACAAAACTCCGTCGAAAAAATGTTCCACACGTCAATAGTTGAGATCATGAGTCAATTGAAGCTAGACCACCATGAAAAACCTGAAACAACTGCACGACGGTTTTGTACCGGTATGGGACTCCTCAGCAGTGCGCATTCACGACCCCACCTTTCGGATTCGAACCCAGGACAAATCAATCTCGCGCGCAAGCGCTTGACCACTAATCCACTGAACTGGACGGCATCCAGCGATGTTAATGTCTAACTTCAACTAATCCACAAAATTGAGCGACACATCCACCATTGTCATCAGTGAGTTGATATCTCACAACAGACTTGGTTGAACTCCACTGGTCACGACTTCTCACTAGAACTCCAGAATATACATCTTGAAGCCAGTCACTAGTAAGCACTTCATTGTTTTTTTCATTTCAACACAAGATCTTCATAACCTTCTACCTCCAAACACTTCACTTTCAGTTGATTATACATACTACTTATACTTTTTTATAAAAAAAAAACACTTCTTATACTTTGTTAAAATTGATCTGTTTCTCTTCTTTGTCTCATTCAATCATCATTATGTACCAAAACCCCCCAAAAAATGATTGATTCCATCTTTTAATTCTCACAAGACATGAATCATAGAAATCATAATGAAATACACCATGACAGGATAATAATAATTTTATACTTATCAACTATATTGTTCCTTTTCTATATCTATAATGATTGTAATCGAATTACCTGCTTTTTTTCTCAACTAGTTTTCTTAATTAATGCTACGATGGGTGAATACATATCTATCTATATATTTTTTGATTTGAATTAGAAGTGTTCTTCTATTGTGGATAAAACAAATGTTAATTGATGAAGAAAGATATCAAAAAGGATTAATGTAATGTCAGGGTTGAATTATTTCAAATGTGCTTGCCTATTGAAGAGTTTCTTTTTTTTTAATCTTGTTTAACGTATAGAGGCCCTCAAATGCCTTAGTACAACCGAGGGTGTTGAGAGTTAGTTCTTCTTCTCGAAATACTCTCATGTGGTCACGCGTATACAGCCACTGATAGGGAACACATACTCACTGCCTTATCGTGGCAGGGGTACTTTTTCACAGAATTGAGAGGATGAAAAGCGAATATCCGGTGCTTTAACCAGATCAGTGGAATTGAAGGGTCCATCTTGAGGAGTTGTAAAACCATGATTCCAAACCAATGGTGTACATAGGCTACAGGATCCTGAAAGAACAAATGGTTCCACAGGTATTTGTAGTTTGACAACACTTTAACCAGCAACACCTTCTATAATTGAATCGTGCCCATTTGGGCTATGACCAAGGAAGATGATGAGGATGTTTATATTGCAGCACATTTCCTCACATTCATCGGAAAAGAAGCACACAACTTATAAAGAACCCTGGCCATGCCGGCAAAGCCTATCTCGCTTCCTTAGATAACTCTCAAGGAACTGCTGCTAGACTATGCTAAGTATACAAATTCCGGATGCGGTAAAGGGAGATTTAGTAAAATGATTCACAAGGATATAAAACATTCCACTGCATTACGTTACCCCAACCCAGTTCATACTCAAGGTCATGCAGATAATTCATGGAGGAGTTGCGATGCAGTTCACGAAGATGAGCATAAGTTTGGTCAATGTTTGTCCTGTGGCAGGTTCCACTTTTTTAATTCATGTAAATTTCGTAATTCTAAGTGCTTTAAATGTGGTGATATTGGACATATTCAGTCAGTTTGTAATAATACTGTTCATCTTGCTGCAACGAATAATAAGTCTTGTAATTTTGATTCTGTTAAGTCCAGTGTTCCTAATGATCATTTGTTCTTATTAACGATTTTAAAAGACAGTGTAGAGTCATATAGCAGTTCAGAGTTAAATAAAACTCAGAATCCATGCGAGACAACAGTTTCTAATCAATCAACTTCTTATCAGATTTCTTATGTTATTGTACTTATTATGGTTTGTCCCAATGATTCACATATTTCTGATGAAATTCCTTGCAAATCTGATGAAAATATGTTGAATGAACCTAGTCATGATCGAAAACCTGATTCAGTCTTGATAGATGCTGATTTTTCTAATGATCCTTTACTCTGCAATGAGATTCTCAATAAATTTGAGAAAACTATTTCAGAAGAATTAAATCGTGATGTTCTATCAGATATTATTTGTCCTCATAATGCATTTGTTTCTTGTGGGAAACTTGTTCAATGCGAAGAACAAGTACTAAATGAGCTCGAGTTTGATTACAATTCGAATGATTTCATATCAACTGCTGTTTATCCTTATCACGACGTCACTTCTAACGTTTACTCTAACCAATGTGAGAAATATGTTTTAAATGAAGCCACATCATTCATAACTTGGAGATATAAAGATCCAAAATTATTTCGTTGGGGAGGATAGTCTAAAAGTCTATGGTTCAAATTCTAGGTCGCAGCGGTTTCAGTACACAACCGACATGCTGATTACACAATCCCAGGAAACAAGTGAGTCTGTTCCGATTCCGCTTGTTAATTCTAATACTAATGAATGCATTCTAGATAATAGAGTTTTTATCCAATACAATGTCGGACAGACACAGGATGAACTGAAGAAGAAGAAGAAGTACAATTTAAGCTGTGGCGGTTGTGGTGTTTGAATGAACTAATTATTTCTTTGTACTTGTTGAATGCTTGATTTCGAATTCTAAATACAATACATTTGTTAGTGCTTATCTAGTACTTCTTGATCCGATCATGTTATTCCTGAGATTCTTAGTTTATATTATAATTCAAATACTTCTAATTATCACAACATTTCTCCTTGTATGGATATTGAAGTATAAACAATACAGAGAGCGTAGTACTACTGTTATTTCCCGACAAGAATAATGGATGGTAACTTTTGGGATCCATTTATGGACCAATACTAAACGTATATTTCTGTTTTATAATGATTAAGTAACTAAACTATGCATATTCATATTCCTCTTATTATAAGCTTTATTTTGATCCATAAACTATTATTATACGTATTACCATTCTTGAGTTATACCCGGTATATTAATTACTACCTCCCTCATTCACAGCCACATTTGGCTAATTCCTGTACAAATGTTGTTTCATATTCTATTGGTACGTTGTGGTCTGTTTGACTGGTTTATAAGCTCAGTATGTTTGATATATAATGATTCATATCGCAGAGGCTCGGATTGGTGTTCTTGACTTAAATGGCCGGGTAAGGCAGGAAGCAAGACCACTGAGAACTCTAGACTGCTCGCACGTGTTTTACACGTCATTGGTCCGATCGAAAATCTCTAATCGGCGGTCACAAGCTATAACAATTACATGGTTCCGGTTTATATAAAAAGTTAGAGTAAGTGAAATATCATTGAATCCTAGTCAAATTATCGAACAAGCTGAATACATCCATTAAACAGAATTTGACTTTTATTTGAAGAAACCTTGCTATTCTAAACACAATCTCAATAATAACATATGGTCTAATGTTTTATCATCTAGGTATATTGTAATTAGTTCATATTATAATTCTGTCATAGTATTAAGACTGGAACCCGTTATATAGAGGTTACTAGTAGCCTCAATTTTGTTACGTATTATATGTGCCTAGTACTATTTATTCGTCAATCTCTATGCTCAGTTCTCAAGTGTATGATATCATGTGCATCATTGACGTCAAACTGGACTCCACTGGACTAGCAACTACCCATCTTTGCTTATAATGCTTGTAAACTAAGGCAATATCGAGGTAATACGCACAGCATGCACACATGCCGATAAGCGACTGTGATCGACTTAAGTCCTAAACGTCACTTAAAAGATTCAAGTAAAACAATAACCAAGTGAATTAATAATCTTGACTACTCACTAGATAAAATGCATTGTTGCTTTTACCAATGACGAAACGAATAATTCACCAATTCACTCAATAAAGTAATTATTAAAACCGAATCCTCAACCTTCACTTTGGCCTTATTGATCGAAATCGAATGAGTTAATGGGTCATATAGACCGTAAAATCTGAATATATATATATTCCTAAGGGAATGATAATCTGAAATGATATAAATTCCCGGTACATATTAAATTTCGATGGGTTTTTAATTGATGCAACCCACTACGAGGAAATATACCTATGAATTGTCTACTGAATAGATCCACAACATACTGATAAATTTCATGTGAACCAAATATCCTACTGTAGATCAGTGGTAGGGCGCTCGCTTTAAAAAAAAACCCTCCAAATGCCCTGGTACGGCCGAGAGTGTGGAGAGTCCGCTCTCCCTCTTCAAATGCTCACACATGGCCACGCGTATATAGCCTCTGTCAGGCAAGTCCTACTCACTGC